TAAATTTGTCTTATCTTTTTTAGAGTTACAGCTGATTTTTATTGAAATTCTGTTATTTTTGTTAGTTACGTACGTTTTACTCGTTAAATGGTTGTTAATTCTAGTTTTTTCTGCTAACGTAAAATTAATTTAGTATTTTTATACGATATATATAAAATGAGGAAGCAATCCTATGTTTTCGAAGAGAGTTACAGTTAATTTTTTATCGAAATTTAGTATTTTAGTTAGTGACGTACGTTTATTCATTTAATGTTGGTAATGCTATTTTTTCTGCCAACGTAAAACTAATTTAGTATTATTGTACGACACTTCCCTAAGTGTAAAAATAGGATTTCTTCCTAAATTTGTATAGTTTATCCCTATAAATAATACAAAATTAGGAAGCAATCCTATTTTTGTGAAGAGAGTTACAGCAGGTTTTTTCTCGAATCGGTCAATTTATCAAAAGTCGTGTCTGATTGTTCATTTAATAATAAAAATTATAGCTTTTCTGCCAACATAAAAGTAATTTGGTATTATTGTATGATACTTAGGTATTAACTATACAAAACTAGGAATCAATCCTAATTTTGTGAATGGAGTTACAGCAGGTTTAGTTAGGACGGAAGACACTTCCTATCTTTAATAATTAAATTTTAACGTTTTAAAACTAAGATAAATTATTTCTTACAGTCAAAGCGACTTAACTCAAAATACAATCCTGTAAATACAATACAATACACGGATGGCGTAGTGGTTTAAGCGGTCGCCACGCCGCTTCCTACTGCGCCGAGTGTTGTGGGTTCAAACCCCACATGGGACGACACTTTGTGTGATCCACAAATTGTTGTTCTAAGTCTGGGTGTTCTTTGTGTCCGTTTCATGTATGTTTGTAAAGTCCCTCGCGACACAGGAATGTATTCCTAATGCGGGCGTTGTCTTTTAAAGAAAAAGAAAAAGAAAGAATCTATGGGAAATTAGCAAGAAAGCCTTTAAAAAGAGCAATGTATAGATGAATAGTGAGATTATCGTTTCTATGCATATGTAGCGGCCATATTAGAAATCTACAGTAAGGTTCGCCATCGACGGATACGTGGTGAAAGACAAAATCAGACGCCTCCTCGTTCCTTCAATGCCTTTCCGACTTGTGAAGGTTGGCAGTCGGCTTTGTATGCTTGTATTTCACGAGGCGAAGGAGATCCGTAGACCTTTCTCGGAGTCGCCACGACCTGTTTGCTGCAAACAACACCTTTTTCTGTTATAATGGGCTGTAAAAGTTCACATCTTTCATTCCGAAGCACGAGTCCGAGAAATGCAACTTTTCTTTTCTTGTCAGTCTTTAAAAGTTGTCATTTCTGGTTGACGCGTTGCAGAACTGGGGAAATGTTTGGGACCTTCTTCCTTATGGGCCAACATTCGTCGAAATGCCGACTTAGATTTACTTGTAACACACAATACAAAAACAGTCGATAATGCAAGATTTAAAAAAATAGTAATGATAGATATTAAAAAATAAAAACAGCATTAAAATAATAATAAACCGAAATTAAAGTAGAAAATACTATGTTCATTAGTGATATAAAATCTAACGACTCATTAACATTAATATAATGTAATAAATTTAAAATAAAAATTAAGTTGTTAATAAAATAATAAAATTAATTGTTAAAAATTGTAAATGCACGCTGTGCGAATGGATATAATCATAATTATACCGTTTTTTTTTTCTGAAACAGCAATTTGCTTCTGAAAAGTCTAGATTCCAATTCGCATTGTGAAACAGTTTTCTGTATGGAGATTTTGTTCATTTTTTACACCAATCGCTTCATGCATGCCTGAGGTATGTACGTAGTTATAGTCTTTCATTAGGGTAAATTAGCCTATAATTGCTGTGTTTTCTTTCATTTTACGTGTTGTTTTTATGATTAAACATGCATAAAGCAAACTGAGTAATAAACACACCCTTAATAAATCATAAAAACGAATATCTGAACAAAGCACAAAAAGTATCTGTCATGTACTATAAATAGGTGCCTTTGTCTAAAATCACAGAATATATAATTATTAGCAGCCACAAGAAAAGTTTGCTTTCCCCAAAGTAATAGTATGAGTAAAAGTTTATTTGCAAAAAACAAAAAAGAAAGAAATTAAAAAGAAAAAAATACAATTTATAGAAACTACTTGTGGCGCCATCTATTGCTTCTACTGTAAATGTGAAAGATCCAGAGACAAAACGTTTTATTAAAGCCTGTTCGACTTTTTAGGTTAAGTTCAGTGACACACACAAGTTCACAAGAATTATGTATATAAATACATAATACGGGGCTTTAAAATCATCAATAACACAATAACCATAATGTATGTAATAACAGTTCTCTTCTTTAAAATAAATTACCAAATTGGTAGTTCCTACTTATTATGACAGATCTCTGCGTGCCAGTAAGACATTAAGCGATACGTACTAAAAACTAAGTTACATTAGAGTTGATAAAAACTACGAACAGATGTGTTCGTAGTTTTTGCAAGGCCTTAATAACTATATTATGCAGAATAATATACAAGTTCCTAATTTATTTAGACAATATACATTGAGTTGTTTAACGGAAAATGGTTAAATGACACGCAATAGAATGAAAATTTAAACACGGGCCAAGAAAAAAAACAGTCAGTGAATTGCAAGTAGGCCAAAACATGTAAGTTGGGCGCCGCGCCCACGCGTCCAATTTATCTTGATTCTAGAAAACCCATTGAACTACCCACGTCGTGCCCTTACAACTAAGTGATACGGGAGAGGAGGGGCGGCGAGAGAGCTCTTTTATCCCTGGTTATCTTAACACACGTTCCGCAGATGAGTCTCGACGGAAACCCCGCCGTTCTCTCATTACGTACATTGTTTTGGAGCCAGTGTTTAGAACGCTCAGAACGTCGCTGAAGAAAGTATTTTACGACCTATCTCCTGCAAATAGGGTTCGAAATATATCGTCTTAACAAATGTGTAATACAGACGTACACATTAAAGATGACTCCATTGATAGCATATCGACGCGACGTGTTATTTCACTTACATTTCGTGTTATAATTCATTAAAAATATTTATATTAACGGTAAACTAAAAAACGTAACTTTAGTATCAGAATGTGACAGAAACCTCAGAACCGATAAAATGCGCGCGAAATAATGCGCTAATTTTTTGTCTAAGCACTTGTCGCAATTACGCACTTCTTGGTCATGAGCTGTGCGTCAGAGCAGGGCTAGGTTGGCGTCTGGGGGTCGTCTGCGGCCTGGCCGCGACCTACATCCCTGCCCCACACCCGCGAGAGGGCGGCCCTCCCGGCGATGACGCGCACCGTCTGCCCTCATCCCCCGCACCTCCTCATACCTGCATTATGTAAGACGAATGAGCTATAGTGATAACGCTGAATGTATGCTTCGAGTACTTATATTTAAATCCCAGTACACTTCAAATGAAAGATTACACCATAAGACGACTCTCAGTTTATGTACAATTTAAAAAAAAAACAGCCCCAATTCGTTTGAACTGACAGTCTCTGTAGTAAAATGATGATCAAATCATTCATGAAAGAACGTCAAACAGTCGAATTTTATTCTCAGAATAATAAACATCTACAGCAAAATGTATTGCTTTAGTTGTCATTAAAAAGAATGTCTCATCAAAAACGCCCTAATCTTTTGCTACAGAAATGTCATTTAGAGTATTACACCACCAAATAAAGGTTAAACATAGTTTTGATGTTTTTAACTGATCTAAATTTAAATAGAGCTACTCTCTGAATAATTTTATTATTGTATTAACTTTTGCTTAGAGTTTTAAAAACATGAGACTATGTATTTTTAGATAAATAACAATAATACTGCAATGGTTTACAATAAAGAGATAAATAAATAAATAAACGTTTTTAACTTTTTGGCTCTTGAATCCTATCATAAACATAAGTAACTATATACTGAAAAATCATTTCACTCTGTCAAAAAACCTCAGGTAACCCGTCCTTGTACTGGCACGAAAAGACATTCAAACGTTACGTGCCTGTATTCATTCTCTTTACTTTCATACATACTTGAATATTTATAAATACAACATGAATATATATGTACATGTATACACATGTTAAAAAAGAAATCGAAAATGCCCCACAACGTGAATTACATAAAATATTTGAGCGAGTCTAAAAAACTAATTTTTTGTTGCCGCTCTTGATATTTTATTTTCCACACTTATTATTACAATATCATGTATGTTTCCACTATCATAATATGAACTATTCGTATTCTCCAAATGTTTAACTACAAAAATATGTCTCTTTGAAAAAAAGTTCCATAAAACTGCCATAGACAAGGTGTATATATTTTTAAACTACTGTGTGGTTCGAAGTCTGTCAGTGATATTGTTCTTTGTTGGCATTTAGAGATAAGAATTGACGTCAGAATGGTGACCCTATGACATTAACGTATTACAGATTTATAGTTCAAGCCTATCGCCTCGGGGACGTCTTAGGAAATTACAGATTAAGACATTGTATTAATAATATCTTTTGTGAGTACATTCACAACTACAAATGACATACTCAGACATGTAATTCGTTAAAGTCCTTCCATCCTGAAATATTATGTACAGAAAATCTGTATTTTGGTTTTGGCGTATATCATCATCAACAATCGTGTTAACAACATTAATGTTGTGAAGTATAACGTTTTCGTTAAAGGCTTGTCGGGTGGAGATCTGATGGTAGAAGTACATATAATGTCTCTGTTTTCATGAATCTCCGAGCTAGAGCATCCTGCCTGATTTCTGTCATCTGTGTCATTAACTGTTCCCATCGAACAATTGTTTAGCCATGCCCGGAATTATTTACACAAAATCCTTTAATTTGTACAATAACTTATCTTTATTTAAAATAATATATCGCATTTGCTGAAAATCTGCATCAGCAACAACCCTGATCTGTACAGAGTGCCTTTTCTGACAGTCTGATATCTTCTAATCATGATTAGAATTAGAAATGGACGTAAGTACTTCTCTTCAGAGCTTATACGAGTACGAACTTGGTGTTGTTTTATAGTCTCGGTGCGGTAGACACTTGACACACTGGAATTATTTCATTACACCCAATCTATTCATATTCTCGTAATGCCAGTTTGTGCAACGGTAAGTAAGTACATATAATCCCCATCAAGCAGTTTCGTACTTGCGTAACCTGAGGTAGCTCACATTCTTGATTTCAATCTAGATACTTAAAAAGCGAAGTGAAGGTTTCGGTTCTCAGCTTAAAAAACTAGACTTTTTTTTTGTAAAACACAACTTAGGTAAATGCGAAATTGGCTAACTTCGTGGTATCTACCGTAAAGCTGAGCAATTTTGCATTTAGCACGAATAGAAAAGAAGAAATCTATTGAACTGGTATACTTGGGATATGCCAGAAAGATAAATAGAAAACTGATTAACTTTTTATCGAAGTATAAAGCAGCGAGCCATTGCTCTCGAAAGTAATTACTATACCCAGGATTCGTTGATGTAGTAAGTGTAATAAAATTATAAACAAGAAAATGCAATTGAAAATCTCGTTAATAAAATAAATGGTGTTTAATAAACGAATACATACTCTTTAAATTTATTTGACACTATTACAAAAAAAAAATTACAATCATTTACATAAAGTAAAATTAACCAATGCCATTTTAAACCAAAAATAGAAAAACCAATTGCTTTACAACTTTACATTTTTCTAAAAAAATAATGTTTAGTGTTATCGCAAAGTTCTGCAATTATTTTACAGGTTGCATGCTGGAATATTCTCCTACTAATTTATGCGATCAATTTTGACCTCTCGAAGCGTAATTGGAGGAGGGTTTTACTGTCTCACACATCGTCCGACTCGTCTTAAGCGTGCTTGATGGGTAAAGATCCGGCCTGCGTGCTGGTCCCTCGTTACTGTTAACATTTTCTTGAAAAAAGATTCAAAATATGAGCCGAATTAATTGCTCTCAAGTGTAGTTGATATTAAAGAGAATAATATCTAAAAGAATACCTTTTTATCTTAAATCACACAAAAATATATGTATGTATATGGGTTTTTGATAACATAACGGGTCATACTCCAAAGATATTTGATTAAGAATTCTATTGATGATATAGTCTTATAGGATTTAAGTACTGCTGCTTAAAGCTGCTTTGTAAACATCTGAATACATTTATTCCTGTCAAAGTCCCGCTGGTTTATCCAATTTGCAAAGCGCTAACTGACTTGTTCTCCAACATTTAAACATGTCTACTCCAAATTGATAGTGACAACAGTAATTTCTAGTGCAGTTTGGTTTGTGTTCTAATGCGATATTACGGGATCCGACGCTTTTGGTTTGCTAGTTTATACAAAACGAAATTTTTACAAACAGGCTAGAAAATTCTGACACTTGACTACGTATAAAATTAAATATTTCAAAAATCAAAATCGAAGAGGTATTTCTTGATACATCTAACATATTTTATTTCTCTTTAATTCCAGGTGATCGAACAAGTGGTATGCAAAACTGAGCCGCCGGAGTCACCGCCGAAAAAAGTGCGAAATGAGGACTACACAACGGCGACGTACGCGTTACTCCTCGACCCCTATGCAGCCATTAACTATAGGGCGCTGTCAGCTTTTAGACCTTGGGATAAACGTGAGCCAATACTACAACACCCAGAACGGGTTGTACGCGTCGCCGACTGCGCCAGCTTTGAGCGTGACTATCAACCCAATGTCTCCCTGAAGCCCTTAACGCCTCCCGTCGACGACGTTACATCATCGACATCTCCTCCCCCACACAGCGACTCGGAGCTCGCGGCAAGGTTGCTAGATGCAGAAGCGAGGCTTACAGAACGCGCAAGACTCTTAGACGAACGCGAAGCAGAACTTATTCGGCGTGAAGCACGTCTCGATCAACGAGAGGCTGAAATCGCTCGACGGGAACGGGCGATCGCTGATGCTGAACCGCCCCTGCCGAATCCATTGCCGCCTAAGGAGGAAGCGGAGCCGCCACCATGTTGACCTACCCGCGTCATCACCAGGTTGCGCTAACAGTGACTCGCGATGAACGCTCAGTGACATTGCGTCTCAACAGTACAAAATTTTGAGGTGCTGTTAATTTATGTATCCGTTTGGCTATGCAGCACCGTGTAAATATTTTTTTTCTCAACTTGGATATTGTTGATCTTTCAACCGAGTCTATTGAGACCTCTTTCTATTTATACTCTTTTGAATATTTTTTGTGGCGGCGCGCGATTTCAGTGTTGCCAAGAGTATGCCAGTTTCGATGGAACTATCGATTTTAACCACAGATTATACAGTAGCATGATGCAGATAAAAATAATTGTACATAATCATATCAAGTACAGTTTTATGAAATTAGTTTTTGTACAATATACAGTTTTTCTTGTAGTATCTTCAACGTGTGCCATTTTGAGGATACGTCTGTTACCTTATCATATAACCTCAATTCTGTGCTTTTCAATACCTTATTAACAAAATACTCACATTATATAATATAGTAAAATAGTTTTTAAACTACAACCATAAGCATAATTTATACAGGGTTATTTTTAAGATTTTGTTTTGCAATAGATACATGTACATACAATAAGCAATAAATGTGTTTTTAGTTAATATCTTGTAATAAGCATATACTTAATAGCAACTACATATTCCAATACACAAAATGCACTTATATAAAATTCAGGACGGTGTTGCACAGTAAATAATGTTAAAATCCAATAATTCATTTACCACTATTTACTACAAAAGTGATAAACCTGTGTAAAATCGTCCCATTAAACAATTTGCTTGACTAATTTATTTAATTGAATTGGTTTAAATAAATAACTCTGTATAAAACCTCAGCCATACCAAATAGTAATAATTAATGAAAACAATTAAACCGATACATGCATCATACCTCATATGTGTTACTTGTATGAAAAAACATGTGGAATTAAGTCTACAGACACGAGCCAATGGTCGTCTAAGAGAGGCACATTCTTTATATTTATGAATAAAACATTTATGCTGTATCAGGTCTACATGCATACTTAAATCTATGCTTATCTGTCCTCCTATTTACACATTTAAAAAAAACAGTAATTTTTTGCAGCCATACTTTCATGTCGACTACATGCATTTGTAAAAAACAATTAAGTATTTTATTAAAATCTAATAGGAAAAAACAGGTAATTAGTAGGACAGATGTAAGTTTAACATAATAAATTAATATCTCATATGTATACATACATTAGTTCAGGCCAACAAAATTATCTTTATAAGGGAGTATCCCACAGTCTACCTCATTGTAAATATAAAAAAAGCATTGGTCTAAATTAAGAAAAAAAATTCGATTTAGGACACTGATTTTCATTTAGATTCTACAAATTGTTTTTAACGAGCAATAATTTTTAAAATGGTGAATCATCACTGCCTGATCTTTATCGACTTATTAGATTTGTAATTTAAAAAAAAAATAGTTGTTAAAAGTCTGTAATCTTTGAAGTGTTAAAATAGGTCTTGTAGCATTATTGCTATGTTGTTTATTCAACATAAAGGCACACAGTAAATTGTTGATAAGAAACTTCCAGAGACGAATACAATGTTAAATTAAGTAGATTCTTTTAATCTTTCGGTCAATACTACAATTAATTATAACGTAAATGTCACTCTACCATCACAAACTCTAGCTTTATGTCAATATTATTTCAAGTCGTGTGTCTTTTGGTAGCATTTTAATTTAAATAAAGCACTGTGATTTATGTCGAAAAAAAATTGAGTTGTTCAATGAAGTGTTCTAAATATTAAAAATGGTATTGTCTATGGCCAAAAAGGCGGCCCAAGAACGTTTAATTTAAACATAATTTATAAAATAACTTTTGAGCCACGCGTTTTAGCCATTGCAAGTAACGGTGCATTTTGATTTAGTGTATATTTTTTGTGACTGAGCAATTATTATTTATGTATTAAATGTGTCTATGAACACTAAGGAGAATGATTTACATTCGATTGTCTATGGTTTAAGTAATGAACTATTGGAAGCCTTGAGCTATATTTTATCTGGTACGAATACAACCATCTAGCAAATGTTTGATTCTTAAAACATCCCCGTTATCGATTAGTAAATGTTATTAGTCTAGTAGTTCTTGGCTGGATTTTATAGATGCATAAGATGAAGTCAAAATTCAAAGTCAATTTAGTTATGTCGTTAAACAAACTGAGTTACATGACGTAATTTTTTTTCTGTTTATATATAGTAGACTATTCCTAGTGTAATTTTTTTCACAATCATGGTCAGTGGCGGCTTTAGCCATTGCGATTGCCCTTGTCTTTGTGGAATTAGTTTTAATGCTGATACTTGAAACAAAAAATGCAGTGCAACACATACTGCTGCTCGAACATAAAAGCACAAACCGATGACAGTTGCCACTTACAGGTTGTCAATATGAGTTTTAGACTGCAAGGCGTAAAGCACTTTTTCTACTTGTCGCGAGTGCGAAAAGGAGCCTTCCGCACTCGCATGAGCGAGGCCCCGGGCGGTTGCCCTGCTCGCCACCCCCAAAGGCCGGCTCTGATCATGGTCATAGATATGTTTTTAATATGTCTACCGAATGGTAAAAAAGGTTGTATATATATGATGATTTAAAATTATAATTAATAGAATACAAACTGGATTTATAATTGAGAAATTCTGTTAATAAAAACAAAACCTTTAACTTTACTTTGTTACTTTTAAATATTAACTTAAGTTTGACATGTGTAAAACTCTACCACAGCTCTATATAAAATCCTTAGACTGTTTGTCTTTCAAATGTATGACATTGCCTAAATTTTGGTGACACTATGCCACAAAGCCATAAGACAAAAGTTGAAGTCGAAGTACGGCACTTGACATAATTATGTCAAGAAGATGCAGTGTTACTAGGTATAATCTGTTCTATACCATCAACAAAAATATGTTTGCACATGTTTTTTTGAAGTTTTTTTTTTACATTTACATATAGGAATTACAAGATTGAAAAACTCAGTTTGTCTTAGTGTCATAATTCAATTATTTAAATAGCTTTTTGAGCATTAGATTCACGGAGTTTGAGTTCGAGACTAGATGGAATATTACTGTATAACCAATACTATCTTGAGATAATTGTTACGAACCTACTAAGTAGTAGTAAGTTTATAAGAGTTTTCTTTATTGTTACAACTTATTGAATTAATTTACAAATCTTCCTAAACAAAAAAATTAAATAAATACAACTATTTACTTATTGTAAAATCCAAAATACAATTTAGGCACCGATGATAACTGTTTGTCCAGATTTTTTTCGAATTATATGTGTATAGTTACAAAGATAAAAACATACCCCTTTAAGATTAAAAGGCAGTAAATACATATGATGTTTCTACTTTTATTGATTTACATATATTTTTATAATCGTAAATTCGTACCAGATTCGAGGCAACTATATTTTCGGAGTAATTCCTGATCACATTTTGGTTCAACATTAGTTAGCGAACTGAAAACTATATTTAAACTTGGACTTGGAAATTTTATGAATCCATAGAGATTCATATTTATTATTTATCAGCTCTTTACAAGTAATGTCATTGTTTTAACTAGCTGTACCTGGCATGCGTTGTAATGCCACGTAAAGTATAAAAACATAACACCTTACCAAAGTTTCATCATAATCTGATTAAAGGCAGGGAAACGCATAGAGATTCGTAGTTTTCTAGATAGAAGACAACCAAAAGAGTGTCCTTTTAACGAATTTTTCAATGATAGTTGTAAAAATAAAAGTATTCTGTTTTATATTAATAAGTGTAAAAATCTATATTCAATTTGATGCATTTCTTTCTCTCTCTTTCTAACAAATCTTTTTCTAAGAAAAAAATAAAGATTCTTTAGAAAAAGTTATTTTAAATAATCTTTTAGTACATAAATTATATTAAAGATTTGGGTCTAACGAGCTTTTTTTTAGAGTTTCTTTTAGCTTTATTTTCTTTTTAACGAGTCAACAAATTCCTTGTCATTTATAAAAAAAAAGTGTAATTTCCAGTACGCTAACTAAACTAGCTAGAGTCGATTTCTGATGAAGAATACGTGAAATATAATTTCACAATGTGACTTTGGCAAAGCTCAAATTGTAAAAAGATAAATAAAAGAAATCGAAACGATTTTGTTGATAATTTTCCTTTAACGAGTGCTATGTTACGTAGTTAGTTGTTATAGAATAAGATTTCAGTTCTAGAATAGGTTTATCTCTAGTCAGAGACACTTTGAAATATAAATTACCATTTACTTATTATTATTAATATATATTATTCAACGTAGGTACCGTAAGCGCGCGTGTAATAAGGATAACTTATTGTTTTAAACATTAAATAGTGTACATTAGAAATGGACTGGATGTCATTATATTATATTATAAGGTACCTCATATTTATTCTTATATATTATATATATTATTGATTATTATGTGAAACTTTTCTGTCAGTACTATTTGTTGGATAATTTTGGTGCTACAATGTTTTGGCTTGGCTAACTTAGTGATTAATTGTATATAAGTTAGTATTTATTGGCAAATATTATTGTTTTCTACTTGGTGAAGGGCTTCTGTCGGGTCCGTACCCAATCGGGCAGCCCCGAAATTCACATGTGAGAAGAGCCGTATGTCCTACATTTATATTATCGTTTTATTTAAATTACTTATAATTTGATATTTTTCGTTTGAAAAAATTACTTCGGTTTGGCGAAATTGAAAAAATTGAAACATGGCTAAGCCATTTTGAACCTTAAATAACGCTTTAATTATATTAGCGTAGGTATTTTATTGTATCGATGGAAAAGTTTCAATTTATATTCTCACTGCCTAATTAATTGCAAAAAAAATATATTGTTATGGATGGTGCTAAAGAACTTCAAATGCCTATTATATTAAATTATCTAAAGACACTCAATAGGTTGTATCCGTTTCTTATTTCAAGAGTTATTATTTTTTAATACCTCTTATATT